CGCCCACGCGGTAGGTGCCCGCGCGGCCCCCGCCCTCCAACTGCACCAGCTGCAGCTCCTGCCCGGTGCAGAAGGCGCGGATCTGGCACAGGTAAGTCATGACGATCAGCTTGTCGGGCACCGACAGCAGCACCATGTCCGCCGGCTCCAGCAGCCGCGACACGCCCAGGGCTTCAAAGCCATCGAAAGCCTAGGAAGAGCGCGCTCCTGGTCAGCCATGCAGGGGGAACCCCCCCCCCCGCAACTCTCCCGGGACAGCTCCGGGTTCCTGCACCCCATATGCCAGCACTTGCCTAGTAATGCTTCAAGCTTCTACCCCCTGTAGATGGAAAGCTGCAGGGGCCACCCCTTCCCCAGAATAGTTTGGGAAAAGTCATCTTGAGGAAAATACGCTTAAAAAACACCACCAAAACAAAACTATGAGAAACAACCAATTTAATGATCAATGAGGAAAACAAGTGCACATGGCTCTTGTCAGTAATCCTAGCTACTCAGGAGACTGAGATCTAAGGATTATGGTTCAAAGCCAGCCCAGGCAAAAACGTCCTAGACTCTTATCTCCAAATAACCAGCAAAAAGCCACTGGTAGAGCACTAGCCTTGAGAGCAAAAAAGCTAAGGGACAGCAAGGACCTAGGACCTGAGTTCAAGCCATAGTACCAACACACACACACACACACAGCAGGGCTGGGCCAGGCACTGGTGGCTCATGCCTGTAATCATAGCTACTCTGGAGGCTGAGATCTGAGGATTGCAATTCAAAGCCAGTTCTCTTATCTCCAATTAACCACCAGAAAACCAGAAGTGGTGCTGTGGCTCAAGTGGTAGAGCACTCGCCTTGAGCTGAAGAGCTCAAGGACAGCACCGAGGCCCAGAGATCAAGACCCATGACTGTCAAAAGAAATACTACTAATAAAGGTAGTGCAGTAGCCTTAAGCACAAAAGCTCAGAGACAGCGCCCAGACCTTGAGTTCAAGCCCTAGCATTGGCAAAACAAACAAAAAGCAGGGCTGGGTCCCTGTGGCTGCAGGTTCTCCGTTCTCGGACTCCTACCCTGGCTCTCCCCCGGTTTCCTACCAGCCATGGTTCCCTCCCATCTCACCTGCTTGTTGTTCTGTTTGATGTCGAGCGGGTCAAGGGCGGCGTAGTCGCTGTGGAGAAAGTGCTAGTCAGAGAGGATAGCACTGTACTCCCTCAGTCCCCCACGCATCTCTGCCCCCCTCCATGGTAGCTCACATCTTTTCTGGGTGGAATCGGTGCAAGATAGCACAGAAGGCCAGGCCGTTGCGCCAGGATGTGGTGAAGTTGGTGATGCAGACACCCTGGTAGCCAGCGGTGACCTCCCGGCACCACTCCAGCAGAGACTGGCTGGAGCTGACCTGGGCACATGGCACCTGAGGACACAGGGATGGATTTAAGGGATGCGTTCTAGGGACCTGTGCCCTCTGCCCCTAGGGGAAGCTCAGGCCTGGCACAAAACTGCTGGGATCCTGAAGAGAGGGATCTTCAGAGACCTCTGACTAGAACCTTGGGCAGGCAAAAAGGCCCCCAGCTCTGGGGATGATCTGCCCAAGGTCACCTAAAAGGTCAGTCATCTCCCAGCAAGATCAGAGATCACTAGCAGCTACTTCTCAAAATCAGCCCAGATAATCATCAGCCAAAGGGTAATATAGCTCCATGCAGAGCCAAAGAAGACAGAGTGGGAGAACCAGGGGACCCTGAGGGAGGAGGTGGTGAGGGGGCTTCTTGAAGCTGAGCCCCCACCCCCCCTCAGTCCACTGGGTGGGTCCATGCAGAACTGCCATTCGCTCAGCTTCAGGTTAGTGGGAAGAAGCAGACGATGCCCTGGGCGGCCCCCATCCCTACCTGGCTGCCTGGCAGCCTCCTGTCCTCTTCAGGCTCCTCTGGGGAAGAGGCCCCAGTGGGCTTGGGCTCCCCAGCCTCTGCCCCACTGGCCACCTGTGCCTCCGTCAGGCTGGCCTCCGGGAGGTTTCCCCCAGCTGCTTTCCCCTTCTTGGTTCCTAAGACCCCAGACTCGGTTTCCTGGGCCTCAAAAATACCAGATTTGTTCTCTAGAGCCCCTAAAGCTGCCATTTCTACTTCCTGAGCCCCTAAAGCTGCCATTTCTACTTCCTGAGCCCCTAACGCCTCAGATTTCCTAGCCTCTATCCCCTGGTCAGTGAAAACTTTAGCTTCTGCCTCGTGTGCTCCTGATATCTCTGCCTCTATGTTCTGGGACCCTAAAAATTCTTGATGATGAAATGGGACCTTTAAGGCCTCATATTTGAGCACTCCCCAAACTCCATCCTTCTGGGCCCCCTCCTCAGCCCCTGGAACTGTGCCTTCTGACTCTTGGGCCCTCAGTACCTCGTCATCTGCTTCACCAGTCTCTGGCCCTGGGATCTCTGTACCCTCCACTTCTGTCTCCTGGGTCCCAGCTAGCTCGGCTTCTGTCTCTGAAATTCTGGAACTTCCACCTGCCATCTCCTTCCCCAGAATCTCAGTTTCTACAGTCCTCATTCCTGTTACCAGAGCCCCTGCACCCTCTCCTTCTGTCTCCTGGATCTCAGAGTCTATCTCAGCTTCTGGTCCTGAGGGCCTGGAGCCCCCTACCTCTATCTCCTGGGATCTCAGTATCTCAGACTCCACTGTCTCAGCCTTGGAACCCCTTATGTCTGTCTCCTGAGTCCCCAGTATTTCAGACTTTGTCTCAGCTTCTGTTCCTGAAGCCCCAGAAACCTCTACCTCTGCCTCTTGGACCCCTAATAGCTCAGACTCTAACATCTCAGCTTCTATTTCTGAGGCCCTAGAAACCCCTATTTCTGTCTCCTGAGACCTCAATATCTCAGCTTCTGCTGTCTCAGTTCCTACCACTGTAATTTCTGGATCCCCCACTTTTGTCTGGTGGGCCTCTGTTCGCTCAGACTGAATCCCAGGATCACCTAAACCCACAGACGCTATCTCCTGGCTCTCCTGTAGCTCCATTTCTGATGTTCCCGTCTCTGTTCCTGAAATCTGTCCCTGAGCGCCCACTTCTGTCTCCTGGGCCCCCAATATCCCAGACTCTGCCATTTTGGCTTCTGTCTCTAGAACCTCTGGGTACTCAGCTGCTATCTTCTGGATCCCCAATATTTCAGCCTCTACCCCACCAGCCTCGGTCTCTAGTTTCCCAGAACCTCCCATCTCTGTTTTCTTGGCCCCCAATATCTCAGCTTCTGTTCTCAGTATACCAGTATCCCCAGATCGCTCCTGGGTCTCTAGCACGTCTGCCTCAGCTCTTCTAGTCCCCAGAGCTGCTGAAACCCCAGCCTCTGTTTTCTGGGGCCCCAATACCTCAGGTTCTGGTATCCCAGCCTCTGTCCCCAGCTCTCCTGGAGGCTTCAGCTCTTTTCCCTGGGCCGCCAGTATCCCCAATTCTGCCATCCCAGTGGCCTCTAGCTCTAGGATCCCTGATCTTGTTGCCTCTATCCCTTGGGCCTCCAACATCTCCACTGCTGCTGTCCCAGTATCTCTTTCTGAGAACCTTGATCCCCCTGTATCTGTCTTCTGGATCCCCAATACCTCTTGCTCTGCCAGCTCAGTCTCTGTTCCCAGGAGCCTTGAGTCTCCCACCTCTGCCTCCCAGGCCCTCGGATGGCAGGACAGCACCCCCTGGTCAGCTGGTGATGGGGTCCCCTGCAAACTGCTCACCTGGAGCCCAGTGTTTGCTGCTGCAGCAGAGGGGCCCTGCTCCAGGCCAGTCCTCCCCGCACCAGGGGCTCTGCCCCTCACCCCTGCACCCTCCTCTGTCTCCTGTCCTGCAGCAACTGCTGCGTCCCTGAGGTTGTCGAGAGGCCCGGAATGCCCAACAGGTTCTTCTAGGGACGGGCTGGGGCCTGTGGGAGCCTCTTCTGGGGTCCTGATCCCCATCTTCCCTTGAGAGCCCCTCGGAGGAGCCTCAGGAGTCATGCTGAGACTTTCTTTGGTCAGCAGGCCTGCAGCCTGGGGTTCCTCCATAGCCACTCTGACCTCTGACCTCTGCTCAGCATCCGCTTGGCTAAGTTCTGAACTCTCTTCCGTGGCCCCTGACCTCTTTGTATTCACTCCTCTGACTCCTGCGCCCTGTTCAGTGTCTACCCCACTCATCACTGGTCTGTCCCCAGAGTCGCCCTCCTCAGCCTTGGGTCTCCGCCCTCCCGGGGCATCTCTGGAGCCTCCATTCTCAACGTCGGAGTCCAGTTTGGCTCCCTGGACCTCTGTCTCTTCCCGAGGGCTTGTCTGGGCCTGGGTCTCTCCAGAAGAACCCACTTCCGCGGGGGAAGTCTCGGAGGCCTTAGGGACCTCATCCCCCACTTGGGGAACTGGGATCCTGGGGACATCAGAGCCTTTCCGGAGCCGAGGGGCTGGGGTGGGGGCGATGTCCGGGCCTGGCTGCACTGAAGACCTGAGGAGAGAGCAGGCGTGTTGGGGGGCTGCTTTAGGCCCCACTGTCAGTTCATCCCACCCTTCAGATGGCTGGGGCACTGGAGAGGCGGGTGGAGGAGGGCCGAAACTCCCCACACGGAGTGGGGCTGGTTCCCGAGCTCACCTTGTCTCCGGTGGAGTTCCTGGGGGCCTGGGGGCCTTAGGCCCCACCTGGCCCCCCGTTATAGCAGCTGGCTCTGCCCCCTGCCCCCGGGAGGCCCTGGCCGGGGGTGCGGGAGCACTCACAGGGGCAGAGCTGGTTTCCTTAGCACTAGAAGGGCTGGCAGCTGAGGGGGGGGTGGAAAGGAAGGGGAGCTGAGGCCTGGGCCCTGGGCCCTGAGTTCCAGTTCCCAACTCCACACCCCAGCCTGGTCCCCACCTGTCTGCCAGGGCCGTCCTTGGCTCTCATCCTCCTCAGAAAGTGTCTTCAGCTCCCGGGAGGCCTCTAGAGGTGGGGATGTTGCAAGCACAAAGTTAGCCCATGTCGTGAGGGGGAGGGAGGGGCCAAAGGTTGGACTCCTTTCCCCCCCAACTCAAGTAGAGGGCCTACCTGGGAAACGCCCCAGCCTCAGGGCACCGCCCGGGCCTAGGAAGAGACAGGCCCACAGACACCGAGTAAGAGAGAAAGGAGAGAAAAATAGAGCAAGCCGACAAAAGCTTTAAGGAGTAAAAAGGAGGGAGGGAGGGAGGGAGAGAGGCTGGCTCAGGTGGTAGGGGTAGGAAAACCAGGCTGCAGCCCCTCTGAGTTTGTGGGGGTCGGGGGGTAGGGGCTTGAACTCAGGGCCTGTGTGCTGTCCCTGAGCTCTTATGCTCAAAGCTAGTACTCTAGCACTTGAGCCACACAGCTCCTCTTCTGGCTTTTTGGTAGCTAATTGGAGACAAGAGTCTCAGAGACTTGGCCGCCCTGGCTGGCTTTGGACCTAGATCCTCAGATCACAGCCTCCTGAGTAGCTAGGATTACAAGCGTGCCCGGCCACTCTGAGCTCTTGACCTGGCTTCTCAGGCAGGTAGGGGAGAGACAGGGACCCAGCAGTGATGAGAGCCAGGGCATGGAGGGATTGGGAACCCATCCTGCAGGACTTGGCTAAGGGGCCAAGCTGGGGCATTCAGGACTGCTGCGCAGTAATGAGTTCCCCGTCCTACCCCAGCATAGCGAGAGGCTTGTGTCCTGGCCCTCCCCCTCCCCCTAGGCCATGTTAGCAAGCCAGGAGCCTACCTGGCTGGGGACCCCGGGCCCGGGCCTCAGGGGCCCCTGGGCCATCAGCTTCATCCTCATCACTCTCAGCAAAGTCATCCAGGTTACCCACATCGCTAGGCTTCACGCTCATGAGGCTGGCCAGACTCTGCATGTCATCATCCCTGGGGGTTAGAGGTCAGCCATGAGGGCTGGGGTCAGAGGTCACAGGCCAGGGCCCAGGAGGGCAAGTGAGCACTCACGTGGCACGGCCCTCCCGCAGCAGCACCCCGGAGAGGGTGAGGCTCAGCTCCGCATGCACCACCTTCACCGACTTGGCCTTCATGCGCAGTCGCAGTGGAACCTGGGCAGGCACAGGCCCCGCATGGCGAGCCAGGTCTACCTCGGCGGTGGCCAGCACCTTCCGCTGGCCCTTGGACTCCTATGGTCCCGAGGGAGAGGGACAGAAAGGGAGCATCAGTGCTGCCCTGCTGCCCCTGGAGACCCCAGGCTCCAGTCCACCCCGGCACTCACGTTCTCAATAATAAATGTCCACTCTTTGGCCTCATACTGCTCCACGTGGGGGTCCTAGGGTGAAGAGCAGGGTAGGTAAGGGCTCCTGGGAGGGCAGTGTAGGGAGGAGGGTCTATGGTTGCTTAGGACTAAGGGGGAGGTGGAGCCTTCACCCCACTGTTCCCCCTACCCTGGGACTGGGCTTCCATTCCAGCTCCCTCTCCTACTGCAGGATTGGGTGATTGTTGCCTCCTCCAAGAAGACCTCCTGGCCACCCGTGCTAAGCAGGCCCCTTCCCAAGATTCTTGCTTCCGCCCCTTTATTCTTCCCATCTAGATGAACACTCACAGTGCTCCAATCATCTGACTGTGGGCACCTGTGACAGGGGTGGAGACTCACCCTGTACAGCGTCACGGCAATGTCCACGTTCTCAGGCACCATCCACACCACAGTGCCACGGTATGGGTTCTGGATACCAGGCTGCCAACTGTGGGCCTACAAGGGACCTTCTCTGAGTCTTGAAGTTCCCTCCCATCCCCACAACTCTACACCCTTATCCTCAACTCTGTATGAATATGCACGCGCATGCGTGTGTGTGTGTGCATGCACAGGCAGGCACACAGGGCTTGAACTCAGGGCCTTGTGCTCTCCCTTTGCTATTACATTGACCCTAAGCTTTTCTTTTGCTCAAGGCTAGCACTCAACCACTAGAGCCACAGCTCTGTTTCCCAGCTGTTTAGTGGCTAATTGTTCCTGTTCAGACTGGCTTCCAATTGCAGTCCTCATATCTCAGCCTCCTGAGTAGCTAGGATTATCGACATGAGTGCCTGGCTTCTCCCTTAGCTTTTAGGTTAAAGGCTGGTGCTCTTGGGGCTGGGAAGGTGGCTCAGTGGTAGAGCGCTTGCTTGCATGCCTGAGGCCCTGGGTTCGATTCCTCAGCACCACATAAGCAAAAAAGAAAAGGGTCAAACCGCAGTCCTCAGATCTCGCCCTCTTGCGTAGATAGGACTACAGGCATGAGCTCCCAGCACCAGATTTACATTTTTAGGGAGTGTGCCAGTACTGAGGCTTGAACTCAGGGCCTTAAGCTTTTGCTTGGCTTTTTCCACTCAAGACTGGCACTGAATCACTTGAGCCACACCTTCACTTCCCCTGTCTTCAACTTTGAGGCCAGCTCCCTCTTCCTCTGTGGATTATGATATGCTCCTGGATCCACTAAGAGTCCTTCTGGCTTCCCTGGCCCCCTTCTGACCCCATCCCCAACTGGACCCCAATGCCACCCTCTCCCACCTTGGAGCAGATGCGTCGGTTCCGACGGGTCCATACCACCACCAGTTTATCTGGTTGCCTGGGGCAGGGGAGAGAGGGGAAGGGTGCTCAGTCAGGCCCACCCCAGCCTCCCCATCCTCTCCTAGCCCATGTTGGGTCTTCCTTCAGCTTGAGTTCCTTACCGGGTCAGAAGAGGCTTGGGCAGCCTCTTATCTGAGGCCACAAGGTGTAGGGTGGGGCTGCTGAAGCAGGGTGGGGCCAAGGCCAAAGAGCAAAGGCTTGGGCAGCAGAGGCCAGCATGAACTTGATGTGGAAGACAGCAAGAGCCAGAGCCAGAGCCAGGCACACACAGAGCCAGGGACAGCCAGAGACAAAGCCTCCGAGTAACACAAATCCATTCATAAGCACATTATTTGTGGAGTGCTCACTCTACACACAGCCCTCTCTGGGGTACAGAGGAAGGCCGAGGGAAGACCCTTCTGTGGCAGGGTGTAGGCAGGAAGGAAGTTGGCAAGCTCACTTCAGGTGGATGTGAGAGCGCCTGTGGGGTCTCGGGGTTGACTGAGCAGAGGTGAGGGTTAAGGGAAGGAGGCCGTGGGTGGAGCTGAAGCCTGGGCTCCAGGCAGAGAGAATGGCAGGTGCAGGAGGTTGGGGGAGGAGTAAACTGAGGGGCAGAGTGGGGAAGTGAGGCCAGAAAGGAATAGGGTTAATTTGTCATTAGATTTTCCCCCTCCCACCCCACAAGGGTTCAGGGGCCTCAAAAAGAGTCAGCCAGGACTCCTGTTTCCCCAAACTCAGAGCCTGGGACACTGGCTCTGCAGAGAGATGGTGACAATGGCACCCAGGAGAAGACTTGCAGGCAGTGATGTCTAAGCTGAACAGCAAAGGTTGGGCAGACTCAGAGGAGAGGAAGAGGCAGAGACAAAGTGAGGAGGAGAGATGGCTACACAGGGCCTCATCCCACATGGGAACTGACACGTGTCCAGGCCAGGGGAGAGGGCCCCTCTTGGGGTTGGTGTCCAACCCAGAAGGCTGGTGAGGATCAAAGACAGCACCAGAGCTCTTCTGGGCTGCTCCCGGCCCCATGCCAGGATGCTTGGGGTCTGAGTCGACCTAGCTTCCTGTCTCCTGTGGAGATCAAGGCAGGATAAGTGGCTCACCTGTTTGGTAATCCCTCAAGGATACCAAGGGCCCAGGAGGCTGACCGCAAGGTCACAGAGCTGAATGTAGAGCCCTCTGACCCAGAGCTAAACTCCCTTTCTCAACCCTCAAACTACAGGCACTGGCCCAGCAAGGAGTTTCCCAGAAAAGGGAAGCAAATCAGGGTGCCTGGATAAGGTGGAGCCCAGCTGGGCAGCTTGACTCAGGCCAGGCACGCCTTCCTGGGGAGACCTGGGCAGCTTCCTGTCCTAAGCTCCGGGCTAAGAAGTGCAGACGGCCTTACCCAAGGCTGCTAGTGACTCAGCCCCGTTGATACGGCCTGCCTCCCTCAGCCTGCTCACCAGGACCATGTTCAGCATTCTGATTGACCTCACCCAGGATGCTAGGGCAGAAGCCAGAGGTCAGAGTTCACATGCTCTGTGAGTATGGTTGCCCTAGCCAGAGTCCGTCCTCTCTCAGCCCTTTGCTGAATGAAGGGCATGCCAACAGGCCTGGTATAAGCAAGCCTGGCGACACTGCCGCTTCAGAGACCCCAGCTTCTGCTCTCTCCCCTCCCTTTAGACCCTATGATCCTTTCAGACTGGAGCTCTTCCCCTTGGGAACCTAAATTTAGCCCTGCCTGGTGAGCGAGGCCCCCACAGCTGTGCCTTAATCCAGCCAAGGGAAGCCGACACCAGGGAGCACGTATATTTAGGGTGTGACGCAGGGGCCTGGGCAGCTGCGGGTGGGGGCATGTGAGCCACATGCCCCGGGGCCCTTCAACACTCCAGGCCAGGGACTGTACCCTCCAATGTGTCCCCGGGTACCCCACTACCTTGCCTTCTGAGGAGCCTCTCCTCTGGGACCCACAACCTTCTCTGCTCTCGGGGCCCCTTTAAGCCACTCTCCGCCTCCCTCTTCATCTCTCCAAGTGCTCAGTTTCCCCTTTTAAGGACATGGTGAAGATGCTTCCAGCTTTTCAGCGCCCATTGGGCTGAAGCAGGGAGGGCCCCTGGCTCCACCAGAAGGCAGGGGAAGAGGCCTGAATCTTTGTTCTAAGCTGCACTGAAGTTTCTGTCCCAGCGCTGGGCTACACCTGTGCACTGCAAAACCTGCTGCTCAAGCCGCCTCTCCCCTAAGACACGTGGTTTGCTTCCTGAGCCCAGACCACCACAGCTATGCAAAATGTGGGCACAGGTGACTCTCAGACCCGAGTCCTGACCCCCATCTCCAGGCTGCTCCCCTCCCTCTGATCCTAGAGGTCCAGCAGCCTGGGATCCCAGGGCGCAAGCTGACGGGGTTCCACGTCGATGTAGGGGCTTCCGCGGACCTCCCTCCCACTCACCACTTCTTCGTGCACTCCAACACCAGCTCGTGGTAACAGGCCACAAACTGGAACTTGGCGGCCCGCTTGCCCACTCGCTGGAGGCGCTTCCACACCGAGGTCATCGCCCCCGCCGCTCCGCTGCCCTCTCCTCAGACCCGGGGCTCCCGCTGGCCCGCGTCGGCTGGCCCCGACGGGGTCCCCATGGTCGCCAGCGCTCCCGTCCACGTCCCGCCCGCCCCGTCTGAGCAGGGGC